TCGGGAAAGGGCTTTTCGGGAGTGAGATGGGGTGCGATTGAGGGCAGGGAGGCAAGTTGAGTGCTTCGATGCACATTCTTTTCTTTACAAAAGTAACGCTGGTTGTAAGATACTGGCAGGCACCATGGGGGTATTCATAGCAATCTGCGAGGAAAGGAGACGTCTACATTGTGTGATCTGCTGCTCTCTCTTCTCTTCGTGTTCCTCCTCGCCTCGTCCGTCCGTGCCACATGCTTGATCGTCACACACGTCCTTTTCACCACGAGCTTGAATCCCTGGTTCTTCTGCCGGTGATCACTTTAGAGGCATCTCAAAAGTTGTTACCATGAGTGTGGTTCTTCTGCCGGTGATGACCATCATATTTCTCGATGACGAGGCACCAGCACGGACTAAACACTCGCACTCTCACTCCGAGGTGCTGTGTGGTGCTGCGAAGCCAATGAGATGAGAAATTTGTGCGTGTCTGAGGCGCTGTGTGTGTGCTTCTGGGAGGTATTGTGTGGTGCTGTCTGGTGCTGAGCGATCCCGTGTAGTTAGTAGCAGCTGCTTGTCCCCTTCACCTTCTTCTCATCTCACCCCCCTCTTTTCCTCCCAACCCCACCAGTACATGACGGAGGGAGTGCTGCTGAGAGAGTCACTCAGAGAGCCGGACCTAGACCAGTACAGGTGTGTGCTAGCTAGCTAGCCTCCTTGTTTCACTTTTGAGAATCTCCAAAGGGTGCCAGCCTCCCTCTACCCTGTTGTGGCTCTGTCTGAGCCGCCTTGGAAGCAAACTAGAGCGATGGATCATAGAGTTGTGTGGGTGGGTGGTGTGCTCTCTCGATACACCTTTGCGGTTATACTGGGTGGGTGGCGCGTTTTGTCTCTCTGTGTGCCTTCGTGTCCGATCAATCAGGGCCTCTGAGCCTTTTCTCACCACGAACCTTGAGAAACTGCTTTTCATCCATGCCTGCTGCAACCTCAATCCCCCCCCCCCCCCCCCCCCTCCCCTCTCTCTCTCGGTGATGTTTCTCCTCTCCCCCCCCCCCTACTGCCCCCCCCCTCTCCCCTGCCCCCATCTCCCAGCGCCATCATCATGGACGAGGCGCACGAGCCGTCGCTGAACACGGACGTGCTGTTTGGGGTGCTCAAGCACGTGGCATGTGGCATGTGGCATGTGCTGCTCCTCTCCCCATACCCCCCCCACCCCCCTCCTCCCCCCCCCCATCTACCCTCCCCCCGCCACCAGCGCCATAATAATGGACGAGGCGCACGAGCGGTCGCTGAATACGGACGTGCTGTTTGGAGTGCTCAAGCACGTGGCGGCGAGGCGCAGGGACTTCAAGCTCATCGTCACCTCTGCCACGCTCAACTCTGAGAAGTTCTCCCACTTCTTCGGCAGGTGAGGGGTGCTTGGGCAGTTGGCGCATGCTGTGGCAGGTGGGACTTAGGTGGGGCTTGGGGCATTTGGGGCTTGGGGCAGGTGGGGCTTGGGGGAGGTGGGACATGGGTGGTGGTGTCTTAACAGCACTCTTCTGGCGAGCTGCTTGTGGGTTGGCTTCCTTTAGTGAGTGGCAACTGATAGGCGACTGATAGGCGACTGATAGGCGACTGATAGGCGACTGATAGGCAACTGATAGGCAACTGATAGGCGACTGACAGGCGACTGATAGGCGACTGATAGGCGACTGATAGGCGACTGATAGGCGACTGATAGGCGACTGATAGGCGACTGATAGGCGACTGATAGGCAACTGATAGGCGACTGATAGGCGACTGATAGGCGACTGATAGGCGACTGATAGGCGACTGATAGGCGACTGATAGGCGACTGATAGGCGACTGATAGGCAACTGATAGGCGACTGATAGGCGACTGATAGGCAACTGATAGGCAACTGATAGGCGACTGATAGACGACTGATAGGCGACTGATAGGCAACTGATAGGCGACTGATAGGCGACTGATAGGCAACTGATAGGCAACTGATAGGCGACTGATAGGCGACTGATAGGCGACTGATAGGCGACTGATAGGCGACTGATAGGCGACTGATAGGCAACTGATAGGCAACTGATAGGCAACTGATAGGCGACTGATAGGCGACTGATAGGCGACTGATAGGCGACTGATAGTCACCTTGGCTTTTGCAAACACGTCTCTTCCTTCCCTCTTTCTCCCACTCGTGCCTCCCTTTTTCAGAATTCTCAAGCATGACTTGTGTTCTCCACCACCTCGCACCGTTTTCCCCCCTTCCCCTGTTCCTTCCCGCCCCGCCAACCTCCCCCCTCTCTTCCTCCTCCCAGTGTGCCGGTGTTCTGTATCCCCGGTCGCGCCTTCGCCATGAGCATCATGGGGAGCAAGTCGCCCTGCTCATCCTCCTTCCCCCTTCGTCCTCCCCCCTCTCGTCCTCCCCTCTCTTTCTCCCCCTCTCATCCCCCCACTCCCAGTGTGTCGGTGCTCTTATCCCTGGCCGCATCTTCCCTGTCAGCATCATGTGAAGCAAGACCCCTTTTTCTCTTCCTTCCCACTTCTCCTCCACCCCCCAATCCCTTACTCCTCCCCCATCTCTTCCTTCCGCCCCTCCCAGCGTACCAGTGTTCTTCATCCCAGGGCGCACCTTCCCAGTCAGCATCATGTGGAGCAAGTCGCCCTGCGAGGACCCAGTAGACGCGGCAGTCAAGCAGGCGCTGGCCATCCACGTCACCATGCCACCTGGGGACATCCTCGTATTCATGACCGGCCAAGAGGACATCGAGGCCACCTGCTTCTCTCTTGCCGACCGCCTCGAGCAAATGGCGGCCGGCGCCGCCCGCCCCCCGCTGCCCCTCTCCATCCTCCCCATCTACTCCCAGCTTCCGGCCGATCTCCAAGCCAAGATCTTCCAAAAAGCCGAGGAAGGTACCAGGAAATGCATCGTGGCGACGAATATCGCGGAGACGTCGCTGACCGTTGATGGGATTTTGTACGTGATCGACGGTGGATACAGCAAGATCAAAGTGTACAACCCCCGCATGGGTATGGACGCGCTGCAAGTCTTCCCCATCAGCCGAGCCGCGGCGGATCAGAGGTCCGGCCGAGCCGGGCGGACAGGTCCGGGAACGTGCTACCGGCTGTACACAGAAACCGCCTACGCGAACGAGATGCTGGCGAATCCGGTGCCGGAGATCCAGCGCACCAACCTCGGGAATGTCGTGCTGCTGCTGAAGTCCCTCAACATCGATAACCTTCTAGACTTTGACTTTCTCGACCCGCCTCCTCAGGAGAACATTCTGAATTCCATGTACCAGCTCTGGATTCTAGGAGCGCTGGACAACACCGGGGCACTGACCAAGACCGGGAGGAGGATGGTAGAGTTTCCTTTAGATCCTGCTCTGGCGAAGCTACTGATATCCGGGGATCAGTTTGGGTGTGTGAATGAGACGCTGACCATGGTGGCCATGCTCTCGGTGCCGTCGGTGTTCTTCCGCCCCAAGGACCGCGAAGAGGAGTCCGACGCTGCCCGGGAGAAGTTTTTCGTGCCCGAGAGCGACCACCTGACTCTGCTAAACGTGTTCCAGCAGTGGAAGTCCAACGGGTACCGTGGCGACTGGTGCTCTGACCACTACCTCCACGTGAAAGGCCTGAGGAAAGCCCGGGAGGTGCGGGCCCAGCTAGCCGATATCCTCAAGCAGCAGAGGATTCCTTTGTCTAGCGCGGGTCAGGACTGGGATGTGGTGCGCCGGGCGATTTGCACGGCTTATTTCCACCACGCGGCGAAGCTGAAAGGCGTGGGGGAGTATGCGAGCTGCCGCACCGGCACCCCGTGTCATCTTCACCCCACGAGCGCGCTTTACGGGCTCGGAACAACCCCAGAGTATGTGGTTTATCATGAGCTGGTGCTCACTTCAAAGGAATACATGCAGTGTGTGACGGCTGTTGAGCCGAGATGGTTGGCGGAAGCTGGGCCGATGTTTTTCAGTGTGAAGGATAGCCATCAGAGCAGGTTGCAGCAGAAGCAGAAGCTGAGGGAGGAGGCGAGTGCGATGGAGAGGGAGATGGCGGAGGCGAGGCGGAAGAGGGAGGTGGAGGAGGAGATGAGGCGGAGGAAGGACGAGGAGCAGACTGCAAAGGAGGCCGAGCTGATAATCATGCCGGGCGTCAAGAAAGGGCGAGGGGTGGTGGGCAGGCGTGCTGGTCTCTAGTGTGTGCGGCTTCAGCTCAAGTTTTGCTCTCGAGACGTGTAACAAAAAACATAAAAGGGAACCACTTCTCACAAGCAGGTTGCAGCAGAAGCAGAAGTTCAGGGAGGAGGCGAGTGCGATGGAGAGGGAGATGGCGGAGGCGAGGCGGAAGAGGGAGGTGGAGGAGGAGATGAGAAGGAGGAAGGACGAGGAACAGACTGCCAAGGAGGCAGAGAGGATTGTGATGCCAGGGGTGAAGAAAGGGAAAGGGCCGGCCAGGCGTGCTCCTGGGCTCTAGTGCGTGTGCCTGCGGCTTTCCTGTACTGAAAGAGGGGGAGATAGGGCGGGGGGGGAGGGGGTTGGAGGGAAAGGCTGGGTGGCTTGGGCCCGACGAGAAGGTTTTTGTTGACTGGTTTTTGCACTGGGAGAAGGAAGGCTCAATATGTACATGCTGCATGGCTGCTTATTATACCACACCGCAAGTGTTCCAGGTTGGGACCTGTTTCATCGTTGAACCCGGTGTGTATTCCCCCCCTTTTGGATGCAAACTCAACTTTGTATGGCTGCTGGTTATGTACTGTACACGTCACTGCAGGTTAATCTGAACGCATCTAGTGGTTTTTAAGGTGATTTTTGTTCATGTTTGGTGCACAAATACCATGCATGCAGACCAAGTACGGTAGCACCAGTCCATGACGAGGTGCCCATTTTGGCAGGATAATGTTTAGTGATTACTTGCTATTTTGTCGCAAATGACAGCTTTAGAAGTCTGACAGTAAGAAGAGCATTTGTCACTATCCCACATTGCAACGCCACGCAAACTCACCGCGTTCCACGCTGTTCTAATCCCCAGTTGCCATGTTCACCGGAGATCCCTATGCGTGGCCGTCGCGCCGCTCGCCCGTCCTCGCGACGAGCGGGATGGTCGCGTCTTCGCAGCCGCTCGCCAGCGAAGCCGGCCTCCGCATTCTGCGGGCCGGCGGCAACGCGGCGGACGCGGCGGTCGCCATGGCGGCGGCTCTTGCGGTGTGCGAACCGTGCAGCACCGGACTAGGTAGGAATTTATCGCCAATCTTCGTTAGTAGTTGCACGGTTCGCACGGTTTGGGGGCTTCGTTTCGGGGCTGATGATGGGCGGGTATCAGTTGCGCAATCGAAACGATTCGGTTCAATCATATTCTTCTGCAGCAGATCCCCGTCGCATTTCGTCGTTATCGCAAAATCAATTCAAATTACATCACCCGCGCCCACCCACAGGCGGGGACGCGTTTCTCCTCTTCTACCGCGCATCCACCCGCACGGTGCACAGCATTCAGGGCAACCCATCCCATCCATGTCTTCCCCATTCGCTCTAATGTCCTTCCCCCCCACCCCTCCTCCCGCAATCCGCACAGGCGGGGACGCCTTCCTCCTCTTCTACCGCGCATCAACGCGCACAGTCCACAGCATTCAGGGCAACGGCCGCTGCCCCGCCGCGCTCTCGCTCCCCCACCTCGCCACACTTGGTTTCTCCCCCGCGCACCCGCTCCCCCCCTTCCACCCCCTCACCGTCACCGTCCCCGGCGCCGCCGCCTGCTGGGTCGACACCATCCAACGGTTCGGATCGCGCCACGTGTCTCTGCGGGAGGCGCTCGAGCCAGCCGTACAGCTGGCGGAAGGCGGTTGGCCCGTGCCGCCGCTGACAGCTGGACAGTGGGAGCGAGGCGTGGAGCAGGTGTGTGCGGCATGGGGGAGGTGAGGCATGGGGGAGGTGAGGCGTGGGGGAGGTGAGGCGTGGGGGAGGTGAGGCATGGGGGAGGTGAGGCGTGGAGCAGGTGTATGAGGCATGGAGAACGGTGTGTGCTGTCCCTGCCTTGTTAATCCACACCGTGCTGTGCTAATAGTTTCCAGACGCCTCAAATTCGATGATATCAGCATGGGATTGACACCCTTGTGTACGCAACACCCTCTACCCACGTGGCAGTTGAAGCAGGGAGGGCCACATGGCGGCGAGCTATTGGTGGAGGGGGAGAGGGCGCCGAGGGCTGGGGAGGTGATGAGGAACCCGGGCATGGGCAACACGCTGAGGCTGCTCGGAGGTGCGTCAGCTTCTGGGGTATTAGTTTGCTGCCTTGCATTGTAATGCCAAGAACGGCTTTGGAACAATGTGAATGCCAGTGTCAATCTACTTCCCCAGATTCATTCTTCGCATTTCCCAGCGGATTTTTCCTCTCCCCCTCACCAGAGAAAGGCAGGGATGGTTCCTACACAGTCCCACCCTGGGATTGCACTGCTGTGGCCGAAGCGATAGTCACAGCAGTGCAATCCCAGGGTGTTCTTCTGATGATACTTCCCCACTGGCCCTTTCCCCTTTCCTCCACCAGAGAAAGGCAGGGATGGCTTCTGCACAGGCCAGAGGCTGAGCATAGCCACAGCAGTGCAGGCCCAAGGCAGGGTGCTTTCTCTTCATGACCTCATACTTGATACTTCCCTACTGTCCCTCTCCCTCTTTCCCCCACCAGAAATAGGCAAGGAGGGGTTTTACACAGGCCCAGTGGCTGAAGCGATAGCACAGCAGTGCATGCCCAGGGCGGGTTGCACTCTCTGCACGACCTCATGCTTCATGCATCGCTGCTGTCCCTCCGTCCCCTCTCTCCCACTCACAACAGAGAAAGGCAAGGAGGGGTTCTACACAGGCCCGGTAGCTGAAGCCATAGTGACAGCGGTGCAGGCTGATGGCGATACTTGCACCTTGCACTCCCAACCTAACCATGCCTCCTCCCTTTCCCCCCCTCCTCACCTCACTCCCTCCCCCCAACCAGAGCACGGCAGGGATGGGTTCTACACAGGCCCGGTAGCCGAAGCGATAGTCACAGCAGTGCAATCCCAGGGCGGTGTGCTCTCTCTGCAAGACCTCGCCTCGCACACCTCCTCCTTCGCCCCACCCATCTGCACCACCTTCCACGGCCTCACCATCTGGGAGGTCCCTCCCCCCACCCACGGCCTTGCTGCGCTCATCGCTCTCAACATCACCGAGGCTTACTATTCCACGCACGGGCTTCCCAAGCCTGCCCGGGAGGCTCGGGGAGCGGGGCCCGAACCTGCGGGCGAGGCTCGGGAGGAGGGGTGGGTCAAAGGGGAGGCGGATTATGCACATGTGATGATCGAGGCTATGCGGATGGGGTTTGCAGATGCGCTGGCGTGTGTGGCTGACCCAGAGCACGTGCAGGTGCCTCTGGGGAAGGTTTTATCTAAAGATTATGCAGCCAAACGAGCCGGGGAGATAGATCTAAATCGGGCAGCGATCGTTGAGCCAGGGATTGGGGTGTGGGGAGGGGTTGGGACCGATACGGTGTATTTCTGTGCGATGGACGGGGAGGGCAATGCGTGCAGCATGATCAACTCAAACTACATGGGCTTTGGCACGGGGATTGTCCCCCAGGGGTGCGGCTTCCCTCTGCAGAACCGTGGGCATAACTTCTCCCTTGACCCCTCCCATCCCAACTGCCTGGCGCCGGGCAAACGCCCCTACCACACCATTATTCCTGGCCTCGCCACCTGGGGGGATACCCCTGCTACTGCAGCAGCAGCAGCAGCAGCAGCAGCAGCAGCAGCAGAAGCAGCGGGAGCAACGGCAGCGGCATCAGCAGGAGCAGGTGCAGCAGAAGAGTCGAGAGCAGATGAAGGGGTGCCAGCCGGGGACATGCACTGCACGTTCGGAGTAATGGGTGGGTTCATGCAACCCCAAGGCCACCTGCAGGTGGTAACCAGCCTCGCCCTGCTCTCCCTCAACCCCCAGGCTGCCCTTGACCGCCCCCGCTTCTGCCTCTCCGGCCTCCCCTCTCTCTCCCCCCCTGGGCACGGGCCCGGGCCAGTGAGAGAGAGCCACGTGGCGGTTGAGGAGGGTCTGGGGAGGGAGGAGATGGCAGAGGAGTTGAGGAGGCGGGGGCATCGGGTGGAGGTGGTGAGGGGGGAGGCGAGGGAGGTGTTTGGGAAGGGGCAAGTGATTGTGAGGGAGAGAGGGAGTGGGGTGCTGTGGGGTGGATCGGAGGGACGGGCAGATGGCTGTGCCATGGGGTTTTGAGAAAGGGGGAAGGCAGTTACAGAAAGAAGACTCAGGATAAAGATGTATAGAGGGACCAGACTGTGGGATGCTGTTGGGAATTTAAAATCGTGAACCCAGACTGCGGGACAAGCTAGCTGAGCAACAGGGACAGAAGACACGCAAGTCAGGCATAGGGTATATTTGAAACTCTGTGTACTCTATTTAGCTGTTCTATAGGCATACAGTAGTTTTTGCTATGTGAGACATAACCGAGCACTTACAAAGGCAGACTTTGCATTGTTTGTCAGAATCACTATGCAAGAATGAATTAACTATGAATGAGTTGGGTACAAGTACTAACCCTAAAGTGTTGTACCCCTTGTAGGCTAACCCACTACAGCCTAGAGAGAACACAAACATACAGTTTGACACCCCCATAGGCTAAGTGGGAGAAAGCAAACACAACAGATGGTCACAAGACCAGTCAAGCAAGAGAACAAGCAAAGCAAAGCTCAGGGTGGATCTCAAGGACACCACACAATCTGAGCACAAGCAAGCAGCCACAAGGCCAGTTCACATGCAGATTTATAATAGCAAGGCAGTACACAAATCAAAACCTAGCAAGAGTAAACAAGCAGGTTTAAAGATATATATCAGTGTACAACAAGAACAAGTCAAGCAACCAGCAGGTGAGGCAGAGTGGGCACAAACCCAAGAGCAGTGCAGAAACGTTGATGATCACCAGACCCAAGGGCCTTGGTGAACACATCAGCAGTATTGGCCCGCGAGGCCATGTAGGAAAGGCGGAGCTGACGACGCTGCTGCAGTTCACGCGCAAGGAAGTAGCGAAGAGCAATGTGCTTCGTTCTGTGCTACAGTCTCTGCTCGTGACACAAGGCAAGCATTGCCTTGTTGTCAACATACATAACTGGAGGAGAACGAGGCCGCTCCCCCAGGTCGGTCAGTAGGTAGGTCAGCCAGCGTAGCTCCTGTGCAGCCATGTCCCCCGCGTAGATCTCGGCCTCACAGCTGGAACCAAGCACAAAAGAAGAATTAGTGGACCTCCACGAGACAGAACCAGAGCCAAGATTGAAGGTGTAACCCTGTGACGAACGCTGAGTCGACTAGTCGTCGGCCCAAGAAGCGTCGGAGTGTCCTGTGAGTACCAATGAACCCTGTCCTCCAAGCACGAGCCCCATGCCCGATGTACTGCACAAGTAACGCAGTACCCTCTTCGCAGCATCCCAGTGCACCTTTCGGTGTCTACCAGGAGCCACGTAGCGACCCAGGAGGCTGAGAGGGTACGCGAGGTCAGGTCGTGTGCACGTCATCAGGTACATGAGGCAACCCACAAGCTCTAGGTACGGACCACTCGGCTCTACGGACTCGTCCGAAGGTAGAGCTGAGAGCGAGTGGCCGGTAGACAGAGGAGTGGGCTGTGGCGAGGAGAAATGGAAGCCGAAGCGCTGAAGGACCTGGTGCACCATGTGTGACTGAGTCAAGGTGATGGTGCGCCGTGCTCTGTCCCGGGTGATCTGCAAGCCAAGATAGCTACGCAGCTCACCCAGGTCAGTGCAGGTGTGTCTCTCCTGCAGCTCCGCCTTCACTAGGGCCACCGCCTCAGTGTCAGCAGTAGCAAAAACCAAGTCGTCGACGTACACGAGAACGTAGAACGGCGGCACGGTAGTGTCGGTGCGTAGAAACATCGACAGGTCAGCAGAGGAAGAAGCATACCCAAGAGCCGCAAGTGTAGTCTTCAGTGTGTCGTGCCACTCGCGGAGCGCCTAGCGGACACCGTAGACTGGCCACCGGAGGCTCCACTGGGTACCCGCAGGAAACGACCCAATGAAGCCAGGTGGGCGACGCAGCCAGATCTCCTCATGAAGGCTGCCATGCAAGAAAGTTGTGGAGAAGTCGAGGGAGTGCAGCTCGTAGTCACGCTGTGCTGCAACGTGCAGCAGCACCCGAAGAGTAGTCATCTTCGGGGTGGGGGAGAAGGTCTGGAAGAAGTTGACCCCTTGTCGCTGACTGAAGCCTCGAGCAACGTAACGCGTCTTGAAGGCAGGCGGAGAACCCGGCGGCCGCTTCACTCTGAAAATCCACATGCCATCGAATAGGTTCGCTCCAGGAGGAGGAACCTCGTCGACGTAGGTGCCTGTGGACTTCCAAGAAGCCATCTCTTCGTCCATGGCTGTCAGCAACTAAGAGGAGTACTCACTCGCGATCGCCTCAGCGTAAGAGCGCGGGGTAGGGATGTCAAGTGCATCCGGGTCTCCCTCAGGGCAAAGCAGCATGGATGCGAAACGATGTAAAGCGGCCGCAAGACACTCAAGCTCAAACTGCCTGTCCTCAATGACGTCAGTGCTAAGGGCAAGCTCACCCTCGACGGACGGAGGACAGACAGACTCAGACTTAGTAACAAGACTCGCGACGTAGTCGAGTCGACTCCTAGCTGCAAAGTCGACGAGCTCAGTGACTAGGGCTAACGCTGCAGTAGACTCAAGGTCAGGGTCAGTGACGACAGTAGCAAGGAGACGAGTGACAGTAGGACTGGCAGCATGAGCAAGGTCGGACTCAGGGTCAGGAACGTGCGGGAGAGAGGACGCAGGAGGCTCAGGAAGGTCAACACGCTGTGGAACAGAGGAAGGACGAAGTGCCATACCGTGAGTGCCTGGGACAGCAGGAGGACGAGGACGGGCGACACGACGAGCACGAACAGGTGTGGAAGCACGAGTCTCAGGCTCACGACACTCAGTCAGGGACTCACTCACCTCAGTGTGCGGAGCAGGAGCAGGCAGCGAGGAGCCACGCATTAGCTGTGGCGGAGTCTGGTCTGTTGGTGAACACAGGAAAGGTGGAGTGAGGCCAGTGGAAGACGGTAGACTAAGAACCTGGCGAAGGACCGAGTCAGGCGGCGGCAGGGACGACTGCGGCTGCGGGTAGAAAAAACAGTCGGCGCGGGGCAGAACCAGCAGCTCCAGCTCCTCTAGCACGAGCAGCACCAGCAGCTCCAGCACCTCCCGTACGTTCAGTACCTCCAGCTCCAGCGCCTCCAGCACCAGCAGTACCTCCAGCACCTCCAGTGCCAGCAGCTCCAGTAGCACCTCCAGCACCTCCAGCACCAGCAGCACCACCTACTCCAGCAGCTCCAGCACCTCTAGTACGAGCACCCCCAGGACCAACAGCTCCAGCACCTCCAGTACCTCCAGTATCGCCAGCTCCAGCGCCTCCAGCACCAGCAGTACCACCTGCTCCGGCAGCTCCAGCACCTCTAGTACGAGCACCTCCAGGAACAGCAGCTCCAGCACCTCCAGTACCTCCAGTACCTCCAGCTCCAGCGCCTCCAGCACCAGCAGTACCTCTAGCACCTCCAGCACCTCCAGTGCCAGCAGCTCCAGTAGCACCTCCAGCACCTCCAGCACCAGCAGCAGCACCTGCTCCGGCAGCTCCAGCACCTCTAGTACGAGCACCGCCAGGACCAGCAGCTCCAGCAGCTCCAGTACCTCCAGCTCCAGCGCCTCCAGCACCAGCAGTAACTCCAGCACCTCCACTGCCAGCAGCTCCAGTAGCACCTCCAGCACGAACAGCACCATCAGCACTGGCAGCTCCAGCACCTCCAATACGAGCACCTCCAGGACCAGCAGCTCCAGCACCTCCAGTGCCTCCAGCTCCAGCGCCTCCAGCACTAGTAGCACCTCCAGCACCTCCAGCCCTACGAGCACCTCCAGGACTAGTACGTTCAGCACCTCCAGCACCAGTGGCACCTCTAGGACTAGTAGCTCCGGCACCTCCAGCACCAGCAACACTGCTAGTACCTTCAGCACCAGCAGCACCTCCAGCACCTCCAGCAGTACCTCCAGTACCTCCAGCACCAGCACTACCTCCAGAGTCAGCACCCCTAGTCGCAGCACCCCAAGAACCAGCACCCCCAGTCGCAGCACCCCCAGAACCAGCACCCCCAGTCGCAGCACTCCCAGTCGCAGCACCCCCAGAACCCGCACCCTCTAGATTCCACAACAGCAGGCTGCGGAGGCGGCGAAGACGTCCGAGGCGGAAAACCAGGGGGGGTCTCCAAGGGAGGAGAGCGGCGAGTGGCCGTCGTGTCGTCAGCGGCGGGGTCACCCCCCTCAGCTGGGCCAGAGGAGTCAGAAGAGATCTCCAAAGGCTCAACCAAGGGGGGTGGGTCTACCTGAGACACACCTGAGGGAGCAGGACCCTGTGGGGGGAGGGGGTCTACTTGGGGGGGAGGATTGGTACCAAGAAAAGAGGCGCTAGGGGGACCGGGTGGGACGCGTGCGGGTGTAGCCTACAGACAGTCTCGTCAAAGGTGACGTCGTGGGAGGAGAAGACTCGACGCTTGCGCGGGTGGTAGAACTGCCACGGAAGACGCAGCGGAGAGTGCGAGAGGAGAGCTTGCTCGCTTTGGCATCGCGAACAAGGGAGAGCGCGCACCAGACCCGAAACACCGACGCATCGCCAACCTTCCCCGTCCACCGGAGTGTGGGCGAGGTCTCTGGCTCAGAGACACGGGGCCAGAGGTTGAGCTGATGCGCTGCGTATCGGACCGCAAACGGCCACAGAAAACGGGGAGCAGCCGCATGGATCATGGAGGTACGAGCAACCTCTATGATCAAGCCAATGCGATGCTCAGCAATCCCATTTTGTTGAGGAGAGGCCGGAAGCGTGAACATCTGGTGGATGCCCTCGTCTCGACAGAACTCCGCAAGGAGGTCAGAAGAGAACTCACCGCCCCTGTCCGAGTGCAGATGCAGGACTAGGAAGTCCTGCTTGAAGCGCTCACGCAGCTGGCGACAAGTAGCACGGATCCGGGGGATCAAAACACTGCTGACGTCCGCCTTGTGCCGCAAGGGGAAGACAGTGGTGTAACGTGTGTAGTCGTCAACAACCAGCAGGAAGTAGCGCTCCTGGTCCGTTCCACCGACGGGAGCCGAGCCCCAAATGTCCATGTGGAGAGTCTGCAGAGGAGCAGTGGTCGGAGGAAACTCAGAAGAGTGAGGAGCGGCGCGCTGTCACCCCTCGACGTAGGGAAGGCACGGCGGGGCAGGCGAGCGCGGGAGGGAGGGCAAAGACCTAGGAAGGCCAGAGACAAGGAGACGGGAGTGCATGCTGCGGAGACGCGGCAGGGAGGGGTGACTGAGGCGGTGGTGCCAGAGAAGAGTCTGGTGGGAGAGTACCTGACACGAGCAAGACGCTGCAAGCTGACCAGACGCAGACACCTGACTCGACGCAGCCACCTGACCTGCCTCAGCCACCTGTTCAGACGCAGTGGTCAGTGTGTACAGACTAGACCCAGGTCGTCGAGTGAACGTAGCAAGGTGACGGCCAGTCCGGCAGCACGTACAGATTGCCACACGCTGCCCTCCAGGAATTAAGGTATCAACCCAGGCATCTTGAATGGCAGCGTTGCTCACCAAGTTCGTTGAGAACGTGGGGAGGTGGAGACCTAACACAGAACCGGAGGGGACTGCTGGACACGGGAGGATTTTGGAGGCTCGTGCGAGTACTGGGCCCCCAGTGGGGTCAGCCAGTGAGACTAGTACCGGTGCAGCAAGTGGTGTGAGTGCGGTGCAGTCACGAAAGAAGCAACGTGACGCGCCTGAGTCAAGTGTGAAAGTGTGCAAGGCCTCAGCTGAGGAAGGACCTGTGGCGGGAGACGCACGAGCACCTAAAGCTGCAGCAGACTCACTCGCACCTAGTGCTGCAGCAGACTCACTAGCACCTAGTGCGGCAACAGACTCACTAGCACCTAGTGTGGCAGTAGACTCACTAGCACCTAGTGCGGCAGCAGACTCACTAGCACCTAGTGCAGCAGCCTCGACAGAACCAGTGACACATCGCTGAGGAACCAACTCACTAAGCACCTGCCGGGAGAAGGTCTCCTGCTGACTTTGCTGCCGCCTCTGTGCAGTACGCAGAAAACCAAAGCCTCCACCACCTGGACGGGCTTGCTAAAGAACCCACTCGCAAAGCTTCTGAGGGGTGGGGTCGTCCGGGAGAGGCAGTGACCGCCGCTGTCCACCCCTAGCCGCTGCAACTGCCGTGATAGTGGCCATGACAGGCAGTGACGGTCAGTAGTAGGTCCAGCACCTCCAGCACCAGCAGTACCTCCAGCACTCCCAGTCGCACCTCCAGCACCTCCAGCACCAGCAGCACTCCCAGCAGCACCTCCACCAGCAGCAGCAGTAGCACGAGCAGCAGCAGCAGCAGCAGGGCGGCTCGGTGGGGCTGGTGATCGGGGTAGGGCGGTGCGGCTCGGGTTGGGCAGGCCGGCTCGGGCTGGGCGGCGTGGCTCGGCCGGGCTGGGCGGCGCGGCTGGGCAAGGCAGGGCGCGCCGCGGACTGCAGGGCAGGGTGCGCCGCGGACTGCAGGGCAGGGCGCGCGGTGGACAGGGCAGCAGGGCGCGACACGCGAGGCAGCAGAGCGCGACGCGCGGGCTGCAGTAGGGCGCGACGCGCGGGCTGCAGCAGGGCGCGACGCGCAGGGCAGCAGGGCGCGACGAGCGGAGCAGCAGAGCGCGGCGCACGGGCTGCAGCAGGGCGCGACACATGGGGCAGTAGGGCGCGACAAGCTGGGCAGGGCAGCAGGGCGCGACGCGCTGGGCTGCAGTGCAGGGCAGTGCGGCTCGCGAGCTGCAGGGCAGGGCGGCGCGCGGGCCTAAGGGCAGGGCAGCGCGATGCACGGGCTGCAGGGCAGGGCGGCGCGCGCTGGGCAGGGCAGCAGGGCGCGACGTGCAGGGGGCAGGCAGTGCGAGTAGCTGCAGGGCAGCGCGACACTGTGCGAGCAGGGCCGGACAGCACAAGGGCGCTTTGGGCAGGAACAAGCGGAACTATCGGTGGGCCCTAAAAACTTAACAGGTTTCCTGCTCTGAATACCATGTCAGAATCACTGTGCAGGAATGAATGAACTATGAATGAATTGGGTACAAGTACTAGCCCTAAAGTGTTGTACCCCTTGTAGGCTAACCCACTATAGCCTAGAGAGAACACAAACATACAGTTTGAAATTGTTGTGTCAGTCAAATCCAACAAGAATGAAAGAATAGGCGAGCCGAGCTTAGAGGACTACAGTATTGATGGCTAGAGCTGATCTGCTGCTTCTGCCGCCTCCGTGCCCTGCTCCTCCCCAGCCCCAGCCCTGCTGCTGCTGCCCTCATACCGAAATTGCCGCCGCCCATCCCACCCGCTCTTGAAATGATGATTCTGCTGCCCCTGCCATGCCCGGAATTCAAACTCGCACATTCAGCAACTTCCTTCGTGTGACTACTGCTTGTGCGAAGCGCAGAAGACAATGACTTGGCGCAGCAGCTGCCGTGACTCGTTCGTGAGTGCTCCAACACTGTCGTGGAATGCCTGAACTTGTAAAAATTGTGGTGGAAAGGGAGGGATATAGAGAGGGAAAACAGGAGCTTGGTGGTGTGCAATGTCATGGCATATTGATCAGGGTGTTTTAAGAAAGGTGACGGTACGACTGATTCCAATTCACCAACGAAATTCGGTTAGGAATAACTTTATCGTCGCTCACTCATTATCAACATTAACCCAACACCGCCATAAACTCTTTCATGCCACTAGTTTGCTACAGGCTCACCATGAATTGCCGCAGCACTGGTGCCAGCGGCTGCAGAGAGGAGCCTGGCAGCTGACGGCAGATGGACTGACAGACAGACTCGCTGCAGGTGCGGGGAGGGGGGGAGAGGAAATGAAAGAACGGACAATTTTGTAGTCGACTCAAAAGCCGGCGCCAGGGGGTGCAGAGAGGAGCACGGGAGATGGTGACTCACTGGCCCGCTGCAGGTGAGGAGAGGGGAAAGGGGAAGGGAAGGGAAGGGAAGGGAAGGGAAGGGAAGGGAAGGGAAGGGAAGGGAAGGGAAGGGAAGGGAAGGGAAGGGAAGGGAAGGGAAGGGAAGGGAAGGGAAGGGAAGGGAAGGGAAGGACGCATCGAGTTTCCATGTTTGAGACATCTCAAAGAGGATATATGGAGTGACAGACGGACTGGCTGCAAGGGGGGCGGGGAAAGAAGGAGTCCAGTTTTGAGGAGTGGATGAAGAGGGTGTGTATCAAGGAATGGGTGTATCATAAGACAAGGAAAGATTGGCACAGAAAGGGAGAACCCGAGTGACTACTGAGAGAGGTGACTTTGGGGAGGGGTGATTATGTCGGATGTGCCTCTGTGGAAGGTGGCTGCATACATGCCACCACACACACACACACACACACACACACACACACACACACACCTGTGCTGCTGCACCAGCATGCCACCACGCCAACCAGCAGCAGCCCATCACACAGCTACTTGTGCTGCGCCAGCAGGCCCAGCAGCGGAGCGGCACGTGACTCCCATAATCAGCTGTCCTGCTGTCTGAGTCGACTTAAGAAAAAGCACACCACTACACAAACCTGTGCTGCTGCATGTCAGCCACCACCACCAGCACGCCACTAAGCCATTCACCTGTGTTGTGCCAGCAGCCCCAGCAGCAGAGCAGCGTGGGACTCCATGATCAGCTGCTCCGCCTCCACTGCCCCCTCCACCATCATCGACATCACCATCTCGCCCGAACCCATCTCCCCCCCCATCGCCTTCCCCATCTTCTCCTTTCCAGTCCCCACACCTTCCATCATCCCCACACCTCCCATCAGCTCCCCCTGCAGCACCATCTCACCCTGCCCCAGCACGCTCATCTGCAATTCCTCTACTTCCCTTTCCGCCAGTCGCCTCTGCTCTGCCATTCCCATCTCTTCTGCACCCTCACTCCCTCTCACCACCACCGTGCTCCTTTCCTCGTGGCTGGAGCGCTCCGAAATCTGACATTTTGCAGCGAAATCCTGCCTCTCCTTTTGCTGCTGCTGCTGCTGATTCTGATGCTGCTGCTCGGAGATTTTTTGGCGAGATGCAAAGATGGCGCACAGGAGGGACACCATCGACACACTCTCCTCTGCCCTCCCTGCCTCCTCTTGGCCACGGCTCCCACTGCTGGTGGCACTGTGCTGCTGCATGCTGTGTCCACGGGCCTTGTGCTGCTGGGTGCTGTATTTGCTGTATTCTCTTGGACTGAGTCGCTTGGAGTGCAGCCGGTCCTGCTTTCGCCTCGTGGAAGTGGCTGCCGCCAGTAGGGATCTGCAAAACAGTTGTTGTGGGTGGGATGACGCACACACACAGAACAGTTGTTGTGGGTGGGATGACGCACACACACAGAACAGTTGTTGTGGGTGGGATGACGCACACACACAGAACATGTGCATGGAAGCACACACACAGAACAGTTGTTGTGGGTGGGATGATGCACACACACAGAACAGTTGTTGTGGGTGGGATGACGCACACACACAGAACATGTGCATGGAAGCACACACACAGAACATGTGCATGGAAGCACACACACAGAACATGTGCATGGAAGCACACACACAGAACATGTGCATGGAAGCACACACACAGAACATGTGCATGGAAGCACACACACAGAACATGTGCATGGAAGCACACACACAGAACATGTGCATGGAAGCACACACACAGGACAATCAGCAGCAGAAGCCTACCCCGTGCCAGGGCACCATTAGCTTCCACTTGATAGACCATGCAAACACAAGGACCACAGTACATGCACATGAACATGAACATGAACATGAACATGAACATGCACATGCACATGCACATGCACATGGGCCAGCACACGTATGTGCATGGTAGATGCATGCTTCCGTTGTTGTCACTTGCCAGTGTCAGCATCACCTCATCACATGAAGCACCCATACCAGGTATCACTATCACCCTCCACAGGCTAACACAACACCCACCGGCACCACCCGCACCGCACGGGCGCATGCACATATAGGGGCACTACACCCTTTTCTGGAATTGCACCAAACCAGCATTCCCAGCCTCTGCCATACATGGCATCACTATCAGCTTCCACCAGGTTGACAATCAGAACCAGCAGCACGACCAGGACAAGTGCACGCACACATAAGGGGCAGCATTACACCCTAAACCCTGAAAGTTTTTGCCATTGCACCCACCCAGCATTGTCAGCAACAACCGTACCTGGCGTCACTATCAGCTTCCACCAGGTTGACGATCAGACCCAGCAGCACCACCAGCACGTCACCATCTCCCTCCCAGGGCCTACCTTCCTCACTCGCTGCACCCTCCTTTTCCCGTCCTCCACAAGTCCTTTCAGCTTTATCACACTCTCCCCTGTCATCCCCTCCCCCATTACTTGCCCCGTTCCCCCTCCCCTGCACTCCATCCTCCAACCCACACGCTCCAGCTGTCACTGCCTCAGTTCCCTCGGACCCATAGCCCGTGCGAACTGTCGAAGCTGCTGCCGAAGCTGCTGCAGAAGCTGCTGCCAGAGCTGGCTCTCCTACAGCGCCACACGGGGCCCCAGCAGATGCCAGGGCATGCTGCCAGCAGCGGTCAGAGCAGCAGGCTGCAGCCAGAGACGCCACCACATCGATCCCGTGCGCCCCTGCCACCGCTCTGCTCCCCTCTGCATTGTGGTTGGTGACGTTCATGAGCACTTTGCATGCTGCCAGCACAAACCGCCGGCCTGCCCTTGACCGCACAGACAGCCTCTCTTTTGCATCTCCACCACCATCACTATCACTATCACTATCACTATCACTATCACTATCACCATCACTATCACTATCACTATCACCATCACTATCACCATCACTATCACCATCACTATCGCCACAACCACCAATGCAACCACCCTGTCTCCTGTTGTAAGCACCATTTTTCGAACCATTCCTTGTAGAAAAACCGTTCTGGTGATCCTTCTCGCCCTCTCCATGCCTCCCTTGCCTCTTTTCCTCCCACTTCTTCTTGCCGTGAGCCCTCCCGTTTTGGAACCTCCCATTTTGTTCCCTCCTATGTTGCACCTTCCTCGCATTCCCCCCCACGCATGCATGCCTGCACAACCCACCAACCTCACCATCATTCCCACTGATCCCTCCCTCCACCTCCTCCCCCAGCCTTATCCCCGAACCACACACACCACCCCGCCCGTCCACACACCCGTCTCCTCCCTCCAACCCAGCCCATTCTCCTCCCATCAACATCTCCTCCCCCACTAATAGCTCCTCCTCCACTTGTGAGTCCATGAGAAACTCATATGGATCCTTCAACACTCCCTCACTCCTCCCCAACCCTCCATCACCGCCCTCTCTCACCCCTGAACCGCCCCCAATCGCACTGCTCGCTCGCCCGTGCCTTCCCCTGCCACTCAATCCAGATCCCTCCCACCCCCCCTCATCAGAGCCCTCCTGCTCCTCCCCTACCGCCTCGCCCAATACAACTGCTCCTCCTCTCATCCTGCCTGCACCAGTGCGGGCCATGAGAGTTCCCGACCTTCCCTCTTCCCCATCCTCCTCCCCTTCCCCCTCTTTCTCCTCGTCCTCCTCTTCTGCTGCCGACACATCTTCCCCCAGCACCACAGCACCACCAGAACCATGTTTCGCCCCCATGGAAAGAGCACCACTCTTGCCATGTCGCAACCCTTCATCCTCATCCTCAACATCCCCTTCCACCGCCTCTCCCAGCATTACAACCTGCTCTTGCCCCCGCACAAACTCCTTCACAGCACTACGCCTCGCGCCGGCAGTGTAAGCCACCTTTCCCTGCTGCCGCTTATCAACACTGCTGCTCTTCCCTGCACCTGCCCTCGCTGCAACCCTCCCTGCAATCTTCCCTGCAACCCTCCCTGCACCCTCCTCCTCCCATGGGTCAAAGCAAAACGGGTCTGCCGATGCCCTCTCCTTGCCACCTGTCTGGACCCCTCTCCTTCCCCCACCAGACTTCCCCTTTGTAGCCACCCCACGCACTCTCTTCCCTCCATTTCGCCTACTTCCCTTCTCGTCCTCCCCACTCCCCTCTTCGCCCTCCTCACTCCCCTCCTCCCGCCCCAAGTCCAAAGGCACAGCATCGCCCAGAACCACCATGGCCCCACCACTGGCCCCCACTGCCCTTTCCACTGCCCCTCCCTCATCCCCCTCAGAATCCGTTCCTGAAGTGGTAGCGCTCTCCTTGCCCTTTGAGGTCGGAATGCCCCCACCACCTGAAAGAGGGGACGTGGGTCGGGGGGAAGGGGGGGGCGGAAAGTGGATTCGGAAAAGGGGGGACGGGAAGGGCGAAAGGAGGTTAAGAAGGGGAGGGACGAGGTGGGAAAACGGGGGAAGGCGGAGAAGAGGAGTAAAGAAAGAGCCAGCTCTCAAAGCACGAAGGAGGGAGAGAAAAAAAAAAAAAAAAAAAACGCGAGTCATAACGAAGAAAAGGCAGCAAAATGCCGGTTACCGCGTAGCAGCAGAGAGTTCACCTGCAAGACGTTCCAGGCACTCCGACAGGAGAGCAAGAAACGACCACTCACTGCTGCTGCCTCCCTTCCCTTTCCCTAGAGCCCCACTCGAGGCCACTGTGGCCACGAGGGGCACGGCAGCGGGAGAGGTGGTGTGGCAGCCAGACACCTTTCTTCGCTTCGCTCCAGGCAGAGTGTCAGTGGGCAAGGAGAGGCGGATGAGATAATCCTGGTGGGCAAGGGGATTCATGGATGGAGGTATAAGTGGAAAATCGTGTGCACAACAACGTTGAAATTGAATCACTAAACAAAGAGGAAATCTTGTGCAGACCCTCAGCTGTTCACACAACCTACTGGCTTCAATTGAATAAAAAAACAGGTTTGGAACAACACACACCTGGTTATCGCGGCTCATGAACGTGACATGCTCCAACACGCCCAAACAGCTTGTTGCCACATCCACACTGGCGGAGATTCTTCCGCCATGTGGCAGGTCCTCATTGGCTGCTGCTGCTGCTGCTTCAGTACCATCCATCCGCTTGTGCTGCTGCTGCAAGTGGTGCTTCTTCTTGAGTACAAATGCATGCTCCATGTTTCCCAGCTTCCGCCTTTTGGCGTCTCCTGCTGCTGCTTCATCTTTTGCTCCCCTCTCTGCTTCCTCTCTCCGGCCACCTGCACATGGCTGGGAAACAGAAGGAATGATCTTGACTCATTCAGTGCCCGACGCTATTTTCCTGTCGTGCCACTCTTCGTCGATCCATGCCAGATTTAATTGATTGTACCAGGTGCGCTTTGATTTGAACAGCAAGACAAAGTGCGAGCGCGTTAAAGCAGACTGGTGTCGTTACAACAAAATTGAGAGCTCGTTGGGGCAAATTGAGAGCACTTCAGAACAAGAGACAGATCCTGGTCAATTTGAAACGCCTCCCTCACCTGGAGCGTAGATCGTGCCAGCTGCAGCATGTGCCTGGCAGCCACGACCGCCACCAGGTGCAGCCCTCCCAGGCGGCGCATTTCGTCCTTGAGCCCCACGCGCATGAGCTGATGCCGGCCAGGCCCACTGGAGGAGAAGGGCGGCAGGGTGCTGTCTGGTGCTGCTGCTGGGAAAACAGGGATATAAAGAAGAGGGGCGGAAGCGGGAAAGAACAAATACAAAAAGAGGGAACAAAGATGGAAAGACGAGGGAACAAGAGAGAAACAGGCTGGATGTGGGAAAGTGCCATGGTAGTTGCAGTCTTTGGCATATCACCATCCATCCATCCATCCATCCATCCATCCATCCATCCATCCATCCACCCACCCACCCACCCACCCACCCACCCACCCACCCACCCACCCACCCACCCACCCACCCACCCACCCACCCACCCACCCACCCACCCACCCACCCACCCACCCACCCACCCACCCACCCACCCACCCACCCACCCACCCACCCACCCACCCACCCACCCACCCACCCACCCACCCACCCACCCACCCATCCATCCATCCATCCATCCATCCATCCATCCATCCATCCATCCATCCATCCATCCATCCATCCATCCATCCATCCATCCATCCATCCATCCATCCATCCATCCATCCATCCATCCATCCATCCATCCATCCAAACACAACCAGAAGAAGAGAACATATTCTTCACAGTCAGATGTCTTGTGGAAGATTCCAAAGCAAAACCCTGATGCATCCAGAGCATCAGATGCAAGGCAAAAAACGCGTCGAATCTATCTGAGTGCGGAGGGGGCAAGGGCAGAGGGGGAAGACCTTGAAGAGCAATCACAGAAGAGCAGATCCGTTTCAGCGTGGCCAACACCAGCGTCACAACCGTCACATCTGACCCACCACCACAACCACTAGCAGCACCAGCACCACCAGTACCACCAGCACAGCCTCTCCCCCTTTCCTCCTCCACATCCTCCTGTTCCCCATTCTCCTCCTCCTCATCCCACAGCACTCCCCCAACCCCGTTCGGGAACAGCTTCCTGACCTTACACTCTGCTGCTGCTGCAGCTTCCGCCTCCCGCCTCTCCACCCCCTTCACAGGGCATTCCCGCCAAGAGAGGTCTGCCCAGGCAGGAGGAGACTTGCCACGAGCGGCAGCAGATGCAGGTGCGGCACGAGGGCCTGGGCTGGCACGTGGAGGGGCGGCGGCGCTGTGGTGTTTTAAGAGAGCAAGGAGGAAGCTGAGCGCGTGGGAGGGGTCTGGGAAGTCACTCTCCACGTCCTGAGTCAATGAATGGGGAGGGGGGCAGGGGAAAATTATCAGTCAACTCAACAATCGGTGGACGGGCAGGGGTGCTGTGGTGCTTTAAGAGGGCGAGGAGGAAGCTGAGCGCGTGGGAGGGGTGTGGGAAGTCACTCTCCACATCATGATTCAGTGAATGGGGGGTCGGGGGGGAGTTACGAAAGAGAATAGTTGTGGACATGGTATGGTTGTGCTTGCAAATATAGTGCAGATGTGCGAGTGACATGGAACATAAGAGCTTGTAGACAACGAGCTGCTTAATTCATTCGTCGAAACTGAAGAAAGCCCTGAAGCAGAAAAGAACGAAAGAGGGGGGGGGGAGAAACAGAGAGACATAACAGGCCCAGAAGAAAGAAACTCGCTTAAACATGTGAAGGGGGGCGTAGAGCACAAAGAGAGGCGTGGTGAGGTGATGGCCTTAGTACAGCACAGTCGGACACCAAAGTCTCTGCCAGAGACATGACAGGCGCACTGGTAAGCAGGCACTCACATCATAGGAGACAAAGAAGAAAATAGCTGCAGCGGCCAGTGCCAGAGGGTGATCCGTTATTGGGAGAAGCAGAAGAGCATCCATGATCTGCTTTATTAGCCTGTAAAGGAGAACGCAGGAACAGACACGAACAAACGTGAACCGAGTTTTGCAAGATCCCAAAACCAGAGCCTCGAGCACATTCCAAAGGTGCGTGACGCTTACCCACCACCTATTGACAAGCCAATCAACCTACCCCGAATGCACCAGGCGACGCTATTTCTCAGGTGACAAGGACATCTCATACTGTCCAAACCCACAAACCTACCCCTGCGAGCGCAGCAGGCGACGGCGGTCCATAGCAGAGCAGATGGACGCCAGTGACGTGGCAGCAGATCTCTGCACCCTGATTGGCTGCCGCAGCTTCAACCCATCGAGTGCAAACATGGCCTCATCCAGGCTCGCCATCATCTCGCCCGACTCCTGCGCCTCCATCAGACTCGTGCCTCTAGGCCCCCGGAAATCTGACTCTTCTGGTTCCATTTGACGACTCATGCCTCTAGGCCCCGGAAAATCTGAGTCTTGCGAATATGGCTCCTGCGATCCCATTGGGGATGTGCCAGCTGCTGCAGCTGCTGCTGCTGCTGTTGCTGCTGCTGCTGTTGCCGCTGCTACTGCTGCCGCGGCTGCAGCTCTTGCGGCAGGCATCAAAGAGCTGCTCTGCTTCTGAGTCAGGAACGTGCTGCGGTGCACTGGAGACTTGAAAAGCGCCTCTAGCTCCCGAAGCTCTTCCTCCTCTGGATCAATCTCTCGCTCACTATCCTGTTTCCCCGTCCCATCGCCCGGCCTTGGCTGCCCTAGATTTTCTACATCCGCCTCTTGGGATGCGCTCGCTGCCTTACCACGCCTGCCTTGTTTTCTCCCCTGACTCTGGCTCTCTTTACCGCCTTTCTTCATCTTCACGTGGTTCAAAAAGCCGCTGGAATCATCTCCACCGTCCATCTGGCTTCGCCAGCTTGCTGCTGATCGCCGGCGTGGTTCTGCTCGGTTGGGCTCGGTTCTGGTGCGAGAGGGCCCTGGAGGTGGGAGGCTGGAGCGCGCCGGCTGGGACAGAAACCCGCGAATAGAGTCAGGTTCGGAACAGGAGTGGTGCAGAGGTTCGGATTCCGGTGAGAAGAGTCCACCAGGGGGATTGGCGTTGCAATGGGACGAGCGTGGACGGCCCAGCATGGCTTCGGGATCATCACTGCCGACTAGCGACCAGTCTGAGTTCTGTGCAGCAAAAAAACGATGAGCAGACATCGGGATTGACGAGTGCCGTGAATGCAGACAGAATACGTTAATATGGAGAATAAGGAGCATATCATAACAGCTAATCGCGCAGTCTAATTCGTCTTGTCTCCAAAAAAGGATTCCATGAAAGCCAAGGACGGGCTGGAACCACAGGCTCGCACCTTTAAGGCGCCTCAAAAGGAACCACGGGCTCGCACCTGGGACGAGGCAAGGCCGTTCAGTTGGAACTCCTGCGACTGAGACGAGAAGAACGATTGCGACTCCTGCGACCCTGACTCCGCAAACGAGTCATCTGAACCGCTCGGCACCCCTCTGCGTTTCCGCTGGTACGTCCTCACCAACATATTGGCCAATTCTCGTCTCGCTTGAAGCTCCTGCGACTAAGACCTAGAGCTGAAGTGGACAAAAGATTCAAATCCGAAAGGAGTGTGTACGTTCGGAATCAGCCACTTCCACTTCTGTGGAGGCAACGTCACTGAGTTCTGTTCACGATCCAGCTAGATCTTCGTAAGTTCTCCGTTCAACCATATGAGAGCCATGAGATTGTGACGGTGATGAAACTCCGCCAAAGTAGTTCTAGCTCTAAGTCAAAACCGTGAAAATAAGTTCTCAGCCGGTCTTGGGGAGGTTGGAGGTGCTTGGGTGGATGGGGGAAATCGATTTTCGAAGTTGGGTGAGCTCTCTGAGGAAAGCGAAATCAAGGTTTCCCGCGTCGTGCCGTCAGGGAGATTCACTGTAGTAATAATCTCGATTAGCGTTGAGTGGAACTAACCGTGTGATCGAGGAGGCTTCGTGCCCTCTATATGGCTAATATAATCACTGCCATTATCCTTGCAACATCAACATTACTATACTACCGATACGGTACTACCCTTCCTATGGTTCAGATGATTTGTAGTATCATCAACTGATCTGTGTTGCATTTGTATCCAAGGTTGTGTTGCATTTTTTCAGAGCTGTGGTCCGGATTTCCTTTTGATTGCCTTTATTATTGTAAGTCAAATGCAAGATGTAATTATACGAAATTGCTCCTGCATCCCTAAAGAAGACAGATTACCTACATAAACAGTCTGTACCGGTAAACAACTGGGCATAATATACAATAATCCAATACAATTTGTTCAGTCCGTGCATGCCTGCGGTTTCTGCTCTAGTTAGCGCTTCTACTGACGAAGTCCTCAGCCCTGGGTGTGATTCTTTGGTTCACAGTGGGCGTCTTTACCCCAGCCACGAATGCATTACATGATGACCACTGGGTACGCCAGCAGTGTTTTCCCACGCTGGGGTAGCACCAATTACGTAGCAGCCTGAATACTCGCATTTCGAGTGTAGGAACCGATAGGGAGACTAGTAACAGGTTAGCTTGCTGTCTTTCTTCTCCGGCTGTGTGTGTGAACGGTGTTGCGCTGGGATTATACTTTCCCCAATGGGAAGCGCGAATCGATGGTCAGGGCGACGGCGATGCATGAGGGTAGGTTCGATAGGGGGGTGGAACGTGAGGGGAAGCGATGATAGGACAAGTAGGCTGAGCCGGAAATGGGGGAGGCAGAGGTGGCGGACAACAGGCTTGTTCAGGGAAACTGAGAGGTGAGGGATAAATGGTGTGGGTGTGCTGAATGGAATGAGGTTGGGAGAAACGCGGGAAACCCGTTCGCCAACGGTTTGTTAAGACATGGTCGGACTCTAGAATCGGTCGCGGTTGGTCCTGGTTGCCTCAATATGACGGGTAATTAAATCGAGATATTGCGCAATAAAAGAGAAGGATATACAATCATGCCTCTCGTACTAACCAGTATAACTGCTTATTTTACGCTCAGAGCTTCTTCTCGGCACCAACGCCCTCCTGGTAATCAGGCTCACAGAACTCTCCTCCTAGCTCGTCGCATGCCTCGCCGGGGAAAACGCTGCACGAAAGAAGCAAGTAGAGAGAGAAAGAAGCCCGTTTGAGAGCCACGAGAAAGCCAACGCCACTCGCTCTGGAGAGCCTTGAAATTAAGGTTCTGGAACCACGTAATCCTGGGTACAAAAAGAGGACGACTGATTCGTGACACAGTTCTCATGTGGCGGGTATGGTCCACATTCAATGCAAAACGGATTTTCCAATGCAAAACAGGCTGCGATTTCGGACGTACGTCGTAGGACCTTCTTAGTCGACAGGCTTTATGTGACAGTCAATCGCATTCATTCAACATGGTAGATTTAGACTGAATGCGAATCACATTGCAACTCCGAACGTACGTCTTAGGGCCGTCGTAGTCGACCACGCCGACATCCCTCCCTTCGACCTGCTTGACGACGGGCTCGGGTTTTGACTCCAGCTTCACCTCAGCGAACACGCCCTCGGCATTGCAGAACTCGCCTCCGAGCTCGTCGCACGCCTCCGCGGGGAAAACACTGGAGATGGTAAACGGTACAGAATGGCGAGCTATGAGTATCGAAAACTCGAGAAAGAAAATCCAATGACCCCTAAAGTTGCATTGCCGCTCAGGAAACGGAGCATTGGAGAAGAAACGCGGTGGCGTCAAGCTTTGATAGACATCTCAAGCTAAAGTCTGGAAGCTCACGTCGTGGCGGAGTCGGCTCCGGCGTAAGATTCGTTGTCTTCGCTCTCGTTCTTGGCAGTGAAGCCGAAACCGGGAAACTTGATGGCGCAGACCACTCTCGCCTGCGACCGCACTGACCGCGCTGGGAGTGTGCGGATGGTGCGGGGAGCCACCACAAGAGCTGGTCGAGCAAGGCAGAAAGCCTCCATGGCTAATCGAAATCTCAAAGAACAACGAAGTTGAGGAGCCGAGAAGGGCGTGGAAACGGAAGTTGCTTCTGCTACTATGGGGAAGGAGGAACCCTTTCAGTTGGAGGAAAAGACGAGCCTTTCTTGTGATTCCAGATTCCAAAGAGCTGAAGCAAATGAAAATGGACCAGCGAAGACAACAGAATTGCCCAGCACAACTTTCTTGCCACAGAAAAGGCAGAATCAGGTTTCAGGGCGTATTTACCACGGATGAAGTGCTTCGACAGTACTGGAGATGGTTTGAAATGTCTTATACTAAAGTGAGCGGTAGCCTCCACATTATACTGCACACTAAACTTCATGAATTGGACAGTGGATAGAGTCGAGGATTTGATGCCTTTGCTCCTGAACGCAAGTGTAAGTGCCATCTAGCTAACCCGAGTGGGGCACACGTGTGAACAGATTTTTCGATCTCCTCGTTTGCCGTGATTCGCTGAAGCGGGCTGCCCAGCTGGACGTCAACATCGAGAAATGTTCTGACAATCTGGCCATGGCTGACGCAATTCTAGGAAGATTGACCTAACGCTAAACAAAATGTCGCCACATGAGGGTCCACGGAGGCACACAGTGTCGGGGATGTGGCGATGTGCGGCTGCCCAGCCCAAGCACACAAGAGTGGATCGATATCGTTTGTGACTCATAACGTTCAGTACGGCGCGCAGTATACAAACGCGGTATAGAAGATACACTGTTCCCTAGCAGTGTTACACGCATCAACCGCGTCAAACCACCCCTAACCAGGTGTGTTCCATATTTTGTGTTGCATATTCATGTCATTGTTGTACTCGTGCATATGGCCTGGAATTTCTCCACACAGACGTTTCCTTTGAATTTATAAAGCATTCTTATAAACACGAACAAGTGGCCAAGGCTGGTGTGTTACTGTAAGGAAAAATCCTTTTCATTACTTCGCGCCCCTGCTTACCGCGTATACGACGATGCCCGCCAACAGCGCCCAACAGTGCAACGTTACCCGCTCGCCAGGGCCTATTTTATCAGTGTAAATCATGTTGGGCTGAGAAAAGCCCTTAGGATCTTTGCAGGACTAAATTCTGAGTAGGACAATGTAATAGCGGAAGCGTTAAATGAGATCTTTGTGAACCACCTTGCGCTAGTATGTGAGGGCAAGGTAGATTGATTAAAACAAAGGGATACAAGCTTTTATAAGATTACAAGGAATACGAAGAGATACAGTTAATAACCGTTTTGCTGTTGCTGTTGCGGTTCGATACAGCGACGACTCGGGCAACTGCTCAATAGCGAGTCAGTTGTTTGTCCTTGCTGTCGCGCTGTATTTGTCAGGTCAAAAGTCGCTGACCTTTGACTTTCGCATAACCTCCAGCAGTTGTTCAACCTCCGAGGGTTGACTCGCTAATGCTTCGATATGTTTCGCTTCGCTTCTGACTTGGTGTTTCGACACGACAGAGGCGCTAAATCAATTGTTTCCAACACTCCCCTTCGCTTCTGGAGTGTCGCTGTTGGTGACGTGGCTTTGTCCAGTCAGCAGCATGCATTACTCGAACTTCTGCTTCCCGAGCTTCTTGGTCAAGTAATCAGCTGCCATCTCGGACGTGGGACAGTAAGACAGCTCAAGTCTCCCCTTCTCGATCTCGTCCTTTAAGAAGAAATATCGCAGGGCGATATTTTTCGTCCTGTTCGCGAATCCGTTTTTGTTGGCTATGCGAATTGCCGACTGGTTGTCGCAGAACAAGGAGAAGCTGGGTGACTGAGCCAGCTTCGCCTCCTCCAGAAGTTCGCGAAGGTACAGTCCTTCCTTGGTGGCTGAGCAGAGTGCGATATATTCAGCTTCAGCTGAAGAGAGAGCGATGAATTCCTGCTTGCTCGACTGCCAGGAGATGGGTCCGATAGGCTCGAGGCGATAGATGTAGCTGGTGCGTGAGCGTCTGTTGTCGGAGTC